TAGATGATCATCATGCACATAAATGAGGAGCACGAAAAGGTTTAATTCAGAGACTGTGGATATGGTCCAAATGTGAACAGAGTGAAACATAAAACAAACTGCAAATATGTCATTTTCAAAAAAATGATATAGGTAACATTTTTACAGTTTGTCCAAGTTAATGTCTCACTGACTTTGGAAGAAGTGTCTAATGGGGATGTCAAATCGCTATCACCCATTTTGTTCTATTGCAGAAGACAAATTTCATCCAGTATTCCTGCACATGAGGACAAGGTGATGTTGAGGACATGTTGATTGTGTCCATGTGGAACACTGAACCGTAATACCATGGTACGTGTAAACTGAGAGGGTCTCACCTTAATTATTCAGCAGCTCCCCAAGTTCCAACCCCTCACCCACCTCATCTAAAAAATAAAGCCCAACACATCTCTCTCACCGGCCACTATCTGTTTGCCTGAAACATGGGCCCAGTACAACCCCCTCTCCCATCCATCTCTGCTCTTGACCCATTGAAACTCAAGCCCTGCTCCATGGGCACTTTTCTGACTGAAGCAGGATGCCTGGGGTTTCCGTCAGGCCTGCTCCAACCTTGTCTAACACTCCTTGATGCTACAGGACCCACTAGAATGGCTGCTCCTCCAATCGGAGATTCTGTCTCTTGAGACACACAAAGGAGGGAGAGAGGGAACCTAAGATTGGAAGGGCAGCTCTTCTCAGATTCTCTGCGTATCTGGTGGGGCACTTTACGCTGATTGTTTGCCTGAAATTCCTTGTGCATTTTGGGGGCAAATTTGCCTGCCACCCACTTGCATGTTGAGCACTGATGTATAAGATTTCTTCACTGAATGGAAGGTTTGAGTTATAAAGAAAGGCTGGGTAGGCTGGGACTTTTCTCAATGGAGAGTAGGAGATTGAGGGGTGACCTGATAGAAGTTTATGAAATAATGAGGGGTATAGATACAGTTTAATGGTAGTTATCTTTTCCCTGTGATGGGAGATTTCAAGACTAGGGTGCACATTTTTAAAGGTGAGAGGAGAGAGATTTAAAAAAAGACATGAGGGTCAAATTTTTTACACAAAGGGTAGCTCACGTGTGGAATGAATTTCCTGAAGAAGTGGTGGATGTGTGTATAATTACAACATTTAAAAGACATTTTGGTAAGTACATGAATAGGAAAGGTTTGGTGGGATATGGGTCAGGAGCAGGCAGGTGGGACTAATTTAGTTTGGAATTATGTTCGGCATGGACTGGTTGGACCGAAAGGTTTCCTTGCTTTATGACTCTACAACTCTGAATAACTTTTCATTGTTATTTTCAATAAATTGAAGATCAGTTCATATATATAATGTATCATAAAGACTTTTTAATTTAACAATTGATTACAAGTATTAAACAAGCAACTCTGTAAATCTGTGAAACACCAAGTTTCAGATGAATATGCAGAGCAAACATTGTATATACAATTCCAATTAAAAGGACTAACCTTAAAATATTGCAAATAATATATCAGTTACTAAGTCAGTTGTGTTAGCATTACAAACAAGAATAAAAAAACCTGAAGTTCTAGAAAACTGAGCCAAAACCTGAAAATATTGGGAGACAGCAGGTCAGCCCATATTGGTAAATAGAACACTCAAGTTCATATTTTGGGTGCAAATTCTTTAAAATATATTGAAGAAACATTTGTATTCAAAGCATGAAGTTGTCTAAGATTGCCATAGTTATTAGCCAATATGCTAAAAACTTCCAGTCATTTTGTGTACAACTAATATTCATTTGTCAAAGTAAGATACATGCCATGTGTGCTATGTCAGCCTACAGTTAAGGAAGATATTGCATTGCTTTGACATAAAGGATGAAGAGGCTATGAATTCCTTACTGCTGCCCACACAATCTTGGTGACGATTCACCAGAACTCTGGCTACAATATTGATTCCAAACCTCCAACTTTCAACTGGCTAGTAAAATCAGAGTCACTCTGATCAACCAATGGTTATCTATCAAGTCTCGAGTTACTTTGCATTACTTATTCAATTTATGGTATTTTGGCAACCATTGCTAAATTCACAATTGTCTTTGTAACTATTGCTTATCACAATGCTTTCAGTTGGAGTAGGTACATTTACTGCAGAACAGACACTACACTAGCATCTAGCTGTCAATGTGGAAAATTATCCACATCTGTCCTATCCTCAAAAAGTAGGACAAATCAAATCTGGCTAATTACTGCTCCATCAGTGTACTCTTGATCATCAGTAAAGTGAATGAAAGGTCATTGGCAGTGCTATCAGGCAGCACTTGATTATCAATAATCTGCTCACTGGCACTCAGTTTGGAGTATTGCATCAAGAAGTCCCAGCAAAACTGGAGTTAATGGGAACGCAAGAGAAGTCTCTTTACTGGTTGGAGTCACACCTGGCACAAAGGAAAATGGTTGTGGCTGTTGAAGTTCAGCTACCTTCGCTCCAATACATCTCTGCAGGAGTTCCACGGAGTTATGTCCAAGGCCCAACCACCCTCATCTGCTTTATCAATAACCTTCCCTCAATCGTAAGGTCAGAGTGGGGAAGTTCACTGATGATTGCACAATGTTCAGGATCATTTGCCACTCTTCAGATATTAATGTAGTCTGTGTGCAGGTTTGGGCTGATAAGTGGCAAGTATACAATTGTGCCATACAAATGTAAAGCAATGACCACTTCCAACAAGAGAGGATCTAATGATAACTGCTTGACATTCAAACACGTTATCATCACTGAATCCCCCACTATCAACATCCTGGAGTTTACCATTGACCAGAAATTGAAATGGATCATCTGTATATTGTGGCTCTAAGAACAGGTCAAGACTGAAAATTCTATGGCTAATAAAGGCACAAGTCATGAGTGTGATGGAATACTCCCCATTTGCCTGGATGAGTGTAGCTCCAACTACACTCAAGAAGTTTGACACCAACCAGAACAGAGTAGCTTGCTTGATTCACACCCCATCCACCAATTTCCACATTTACACCACTAGTTTTCACCACTAGTGCACTATAGTGGTAGTTTGTACCATCTGCAAGATGCACTACATTTACTGACCAAGGCAACTCCATCATCTTTCAAACCTGCAACCTTAGCACCTAAAAGGAGAAGGGCAGTAGGCTGTGGCAACACTATCACCTGCAATTTCACCTCTGAGTCACACGAAAACCTGATCTGAAACTATATCACCATTCCTTCAGTGTCACTGTGTTCATATCCTGAAACTCCCCTTGTTAACAGCTCCAAGGCTGTCCTTACTGCGTGAGGACTGCAGCAATTCAGAAAGGCAGCTCAACAGCATCTTCTGTGTGACTAGGGATAAGCTATAAATACTGATCTGGCCAGTGACATATACTTCCCATGAATAAATAAAACTAAATGTGAAACCATCCTGAGCTTCTTAACAGCTAAAACTCCAGAGGACAAAAGAGCAAAGAAGTTTTAAACACTGTTAACAAAAAAAAATCTCAATTTTGTAGTAATACACAACTTGGTGTTGGAAAAGAATAGAAATAATATTATTTCAGAAATAGGTATGGAAGACATCACGAGCAGTTAAATTTGTCTAATATATTTTGTGTTAAAAATGATTGTGGAATTTTATACGGTTTCCCCTAGAAGGTGAATGATTTCCATTAATGTTATTGCATTTCATAGGAAAGTCAGATGAACACAATAACTCACTGAATGCTGCTTCATTTCTTTAACATAGTACAACTGTAAATAGAACTCAGCCTCCTTTCACCTAAAGTCCTGAGCATTTCCATCAAGCTTAAGAAATATAAAAACTGAATTCCTCTTCTGAAAAACAAAGCTGAATGTTTTAGTTAAGTGTTCTAGCCACTCATTGTAAACAAGCTCGTTGTTCATACAATGTCCCAGCTATAATTTACCTCTTCAGCTTGGCTGCTTGTACATCTCCTCCAGTCAGGAAGGCAAGTCAGTATTGAAGGACTGTGTGGTCCACTAACAAAAAGACAGCAAAGATTCCTAGCTTCTGAATTTGTGTTGTGTTTGGAGCCAATCACATTCAGAATCACACATCCCATAAGAGTGCGCTATCTTAACCTCTTCAATAACCAGGTCACAAAGATTATTTCTTTTCATATATTCACAACTCCTATTGGATTGGACCTAATTTTAATATTCTTCCACATTTTAAATTGTGATATATTTCTGATATCTCCCTATTTATTCACACTTCTCCATGTTTTACTTTCATAGCCAATAGACTCTGGTTGAAGGTAAGTAAGTTGAGTCCTATCTTCTCCACAGGCACTGGCAAGGCTTTTGTGCCTGCCAGACAAGAGGGTTCAGGTAGCAGGAAACATCTTAATGCTTCACCCATATAGATTGATGGCCTCACCAAAGCAAGGGACTCATCTACCACTTCAAAGTAAAGGCGAGTTTATATCAAGCTTGGTTAAGACTGAAATATTTTGTTCTCACTAGAATTCTGCCACAATTATTTACTTTTGCTATTTCTGAAACTGAAATCCTATACTTTACAGATTCTATTTTCCAGCAACTTAGAAAAAATAGGAATGTTGCTTTAATACAGTGGACAGTGGGGGACTACTCTGCTAACAGCCCGTACATTAACTAATTGTAGGATGAACCAGAAATCTTTGCATTATTGTATAATAAACACAATGTTACAGAGGAAGGACTAAGCTATTTGTATTTATGCTACTAATTGCAATTTAGCAATTATGTATCTTAACATGACAAATTAAACAGCTACTAGAACGCTACAAAACTTTCAGTTCAATTAGATTGCACTGCGATTGCAAAAAAAATCACCCAATGGAATACATTACAAATGAACTGTTAAATGGCAATTTAAACAGCTATTTAACCTTATGTCTACAGAAAGCTAAAGCCTGAAGCATAGTTAATATTCTTTGATCGATTTAAGACAAAAAAAGGCATTTTTGAAGAGTTGTTCCATTTCAAGTAAAAAATCTTTTAGTTCATCCATTTATTATCCTTGTACTTATTGCACTAGGCAATGTATAGATCAATAACACAATAAATAATGTGAGGATTATCAAAATTAGTCCAATTATTATGTACTTCTTGTAGTTCCTCCAGATCAGATAGTAGAGACACTTGAAAGGGTTTACAAACCAAGAGAAGGAGGTATCAGGGCGGCTGTAGGGAGAAAGAAAATCCAATTAAAACAGTTTTCAACCATTGTAAGTGTTGATGATCTTCTAAAAACTAAAGTAGCACAAGTATTGTTGTTCATAGGATTTCAATACACTGTCAAGTTCAATGAAGTTCAAGTTGGCATCCCTCCCAAAGTAATGTTCATGGCAATAACTTTGTCATTAAAACCAACAAAGTAGTAAAAACCGATAGAACTGCAAATGTTGCAAATCAGGAATAAAAACAGAAGTTGCTGGAAAAGCTCAGCAGGTCTGGCAGCATCTGTGAAGAAAAATCAGTTAATATTTTGGGTCCAGTGACCCATCCTCAGTTCTGATTTTTCTTCACAGATGCTGCCAGACCTGCTGAGCTTTTCCCAGAAAGTAGTAGGCTGGAGGGTTCACAACATGCTGGCACAGTGATTACAGGGAATATTAACATTAGCATTCAGTAAATTGAAATGATATTTAATTATTAAAGAAATTACCTAGTTCCAATTTGCAGTGAAACCTGTAGAGTTCAACAATATTTAACCCAGCCTTGTTTTGTCAGTTTACTGCAATGTAACGCTTGGCTAACAAGAATTTATTTGGCTTAGGTGGGCTTGTTCCCAAAATTTCTATTATATTTCATAAGGAACATACAGTCATTTTTGTGACACAAAACTTAAGTATTGCTGGAAAAAGACATTTTCTTGAAGCTTTTTATCTTGCTCTCAGCATGACAATTCACAAGAATACCAATTCAGGGGAAAATCAATACTTATACTGCATGAGAGGAAAGGGCTGATTGGTTAGCAAGTTTCCTCTGATTGGTACATTCAACTTGTGAATTGTCCTATCAGTACAAGATGAATAAATTCAACAACATATATCTTTTGTCAGCAACATTCAAGGACCAACTAATGATAAAATCCAAAATGAGCCACAGGCCAATCAAGTGCAGCTCCAGTGCGGCCACCACACTGACATCTACCTGATAATGTGGAAAATTGCCCAATTATCTCCTGTCCACAAAAGAAGTACTAATTCAATTCCACCAGCTTGCTCTTGGTCATCACAAAGCGATGCACTTTCACGGCAATAACCTGTTCACTGAGACTCAGTTTGGTTCCTACCAGTCCACTCAGCACCTGACTTCATCACAGCCTTGGTCCAAGCATGGACAAAAGAGCTGAATTCCGGAGACGAGGTGAGACAGATTGCCTTAACATCAAATCAGCATTTTATCTGAGTCTGGTATCAAAATTCCCCAGCAAAATTGAAGCTGAAGTGGAAATACTTTCTACCGATTGGAGTCACTCTTAGCACATAGGAAGATAGTTGTAGTTGTTGGACATCAGTCATCTCAACTCCAGGACATCTCTGCAGGAGTTCTTCAGGGTAGTGTCCTAGGCCCAACTATCTTCAGCTGCTTCATCAATAGGTCCCTCCATCATAAGATTAGAAGTTGTTCACTGGTGATTACAAAACATTCAGCACCACACACTGCTGTTTTGTCACTGAGGAGTCCAGGTCAAATGCAGGAAGAACTGGACAACATTCAGTCTTGGACTATAAAGTAACAAGTAATATTTGCACCACAATGTGCCAGGCAATCACCATCTCCTACAAGAGGGAATCTACTCACCGCCCCTTGACATTCAATGGTATTATTATCACGGAATTTCCCATTGCCAATATCATGAACATTAGTATTGACATTAATATTATAGCTATATCAGCAGTTTTGGGGCTGAGAATACGGCAGCGAGGAATTCACCTTCTGTCTCTTCAAAACCTGTCCACTAAATACAAGGCACAAGTCAGGAGTGTGCTGAAGTACTCTCCACTTGCCTGGATGGGTGCAGCTCCAACAAATTAAAGAAGCTCCACATCTTCTAAGTTTTGGAAACCTGATCGGCATGGACAAGTTGGACCAAAGGGTCTGTTTCCATGCTGTAAGTCTCTATGACTCCACAACAAAGCAGCCTGTTAATAAGCTTGCCATCCACCACCTTTGCAGAGTGGCTGTAGTGTGTTACATCTATAAGACACACTGCAGCAATGCACCAAGGTTTCTTTGACAGAACCCTCCAAACCTGTGGCTTCAATCACCTAGAAGGGCAACGGAAGTAGAACTATGGGAATACCACCACCTTCAAGCTCTTCTCCAAACCACAAATCATTCAGGTTTGGAATGCCATTTCTTCACCATCGCTGGATCAAAATCCTGGAACTCTCTCCCTAGCAACATTGCACATGGACCAAAGTGGTTCAAGATAGCAACTCACCATAGTCTTCTCGTAGGCAACTAGTGATTGACCACAAACGCTGCCCTAACCAGCAATGCCCACAGCCTATGAAACAATAAAATAAACTTAACATGAAGAAAAAAAATATGTTTTGAACAAACCTGCTTGTTAACATTTCAATAGTCAGTGCTAATCATGCAAGCTTGAAAGTGCAGACCAGATCCCTGAATCATAATCAGGTTCTTTAATATTCAGCTGTCCAGCAATGAAACCAAACTTACTTGGGTTTTTCCAATGGTTCCGGCTCTTTGCGACCAGAGCCAACTGGATTCCTCTCAGCCTCCTCACCAGTAAGCAGGTGGAATTCAGCTTCAACCTTGCCCTAAATTAATTGTGCAGAAAGTGTGAATAATGGAACATTCATAAATGTGGGCAAAAAATGAATAACAAGAAGGCAAATTTTAGATTATGTCTGCTAATCAGTACAGGAATGGCAATCATTTTTTATTTTTAAAATGCAGCAATTGATTGAATGGATTTGGAATTATGGACCCATGTCAAAGATGCTATTCTGACACACGTCCTCTAGTCCTGGCAAGATTAAAGGAAAATCTCTGCCAATTTGATTGAGAATGGACATGTCTGACCACTGGGGAGAGAGCCTGAACCAAGTCCTGTTTAAGCCCAGTAGCAGGACCCTGCGGATGCATTTTGTTGGTTGTGGCCAAGTAAGGACTGAATGCCACCACCAAGAATTGCTGGCAGCTCAGCAGCACCACCACTGGTGAAGACTATTAAACTCAATAACAGGATTTAGGAAGACGTGAAGCACTGGTGTAGAGGTGTTGGATTGGGGTAGGCAAGATCAGAAATCACACAACACCAGGTTACAGTCCAACAGGTTTATTTGAAAACACGAGCTTTCAGAGCCTCACTCCTCCTTCAGGTCTTAGTGAGAGAGGTAGTATCAGACACAGAATTTATAAGAAAAAGATCAAAGGGTCACACCACTGATGAGGATGTATTAACCAAACCTAAGATCCTGTTAAATCTTTAATCAGTTAGGAGGTTTTAATTGATTAATATGTATATGTAAATTCCCAAATTCCTTTCAAGTCACTGCCCTGAGAAAACTACAGTGTAAAGAGGAGGTGAATTTATAGACAGTCAATGTAGCGTTTTATAAATTCCTACTTTAGAAATAAAACCGGTCTGACTCCAAACCAAAATACAAACAGATTCTAAACAAGACCTCACACCTAACATGCATTGCCTGACCTAAAATGTTATCTCTTCTGTTCACTGATTAAACCTTTACTTCTCTCAGGGCAGTGACTTGAAAGGATTTAGGGAATTTACATATCCATATTAATCAATTAAAACCTTCTAACTGATTAAAGATTTAACAGCATCTTAGGTTTGTTTAATACATCCTCATCAGTGGTGTGACCCTTTGATCTTTTACTTGTAAATTCTGTGTCTGATACCACCTTTCTCACTAGCACCTGAAGAAGGAGCGAAGCTCCGAATGTTTGTGTTTTCAAATAAACCTGTTAGACCACAACTGATGAAGGGTCGAGGCCCGAAACGTCAGCCTCTCTGCTCCTATGATGCTGCTTGGCCTGCTGTGTTCATCCAGCCCTGCACCTTGTTGTCTCGGATTCTCCAGCATCTGCAGTTCCTACTATCTCTGACCACAACCTGGTGTTGTGTCATTTCTGACCATGAAACACTGGTAGTATAGTTGTTCGGGAGCCTGTCCCCTTAGCTACATACACCCTTTCTAAATAAGTAATACCACCATGTTGTTGTCACTTATGGTCATGTTATTTTCCACAGTATGATTTTATATTGATTTAATATATTCTTATCATTTGAGAACTTGGGTTCTAAAGCAGAGAAATTATGTACAGCTTTAAGTTTGATTCTAAAATATGTGTTAAGGAGGGAAGGAAAGATTTTAGTTTTGTTCTGAGTGGTATTGAGATTTATTGATACAGATATTTTTAACGAGGCTTTAAAGCCTTGGCGCAGAACTTGAGGTGAATAGTTCAGTGTTCTGGGAGAAAAGGGATAGAAGAGAAAAATGTTGTTGCCTAGCAACGTGAGTCCAGAATCACAGAAGGTGTGTGTGTGCGCGGCTTAGTCACGGTGAAAAGGTACTGCTAGTTCAAGTAGTGTTTCAAAAAAAAACAAGGCTGGAGAAAAAGTGCAGAATGGCTTAAGAGAAAAATATCCAACAACAGAAAACTGCTGGAAGGGGATATATGGTAAACACATCTGTTTGTTCTGAAAGTGCTCAGAAGTCAATCAGAAGAAAGCTCCAAAAACCAATTACAGCTGTTCCAACAAAATGAGGAATTTTAAAGTGAGGACGTAGTGCCACCTCACTGAGGTTATTTCTGACATTTGTAATAATAAAACTGTTCAATTTGTGTTTTATATATATAAACAAATTGATTTTTTATGGTCTCACTCTGGGATCAGATATGGTTGGTATGTTTAATCAGAAGAAATAAACGTACAACTTTTTTAGGACTGTGTTTTTTCATGTCATTCCCTATTCATCATTGGTTGCCGCAATCCTTCCTTTGGGCAAAGAATTCAGTGATCAAGGCAGAAAATTTTAAAATATCTGAAGTGTTTTGCAAATTGTTTCTGAGATGTTTTTGGAGTCATCTATTTGAAATTCTGCAAAAATCCTTTGAAACAGATATCTTGAGCTAAAAAAAAGTCATAAGTTATAATGTTAAGCAGGACTATGGTGCTTTTTTACAGAACACACAGTTTTCAGTCAAAATATAAATACTGAGAGGGATGATACAATTATGTGGGTGGGTAATAGTCATCAGAAATGTTTAGCAAATGAGCTTAACTGTTAAAAAATGCACAAACAACAGTTTTATTCTAACTGATTTAATCCTATGCTGTGCTATTTTTGGCAGATATTAATTTGTCACAGTACAGAGTGTACGCTTCTATGAACTTGGGGGCCATCTTTTCGCTCCCAAGGAACGTAGTTCAAGTCAGCTCAACAGACCTGCCTTGATACGAAAGGCTCCATCACATGCAGTTTTTGCTCTGACAGACAGGGACAGGACGGAGTGAGGGCCTGCCAATCCCTGAAGTAGATGAGGGGTAGCCATATGGGGGCCCATAGTGGAGGTGGGCTAATAGGAAAACTTGCCCAAATAGCTGCACCCTCTCACCCACTTCTCTCATTCCCATCAAGTTCCTTTTCCCCTTCACACTAATCATATCCCCTCCATGGCAACTCATGCCGTCGACCCACCTCCATTTTCCCCATATCCCCACATGGCCTCCAGGCTAACCCCTCCCCCACCCCCATGCCATCCTGTACACCATACCAGCTCATGGTATATAGTGGTGCTGGAATAACAACAATTGGGAAAGTTCAACAATGGACTCAAATTAAACTTCAGGAACAGAATCATATTAATTTTTTCTAACCTCCACTAATTAGACTCCACTAATAACACTGAAACATGCTTTATCCATCTTTCAAGATTATTTATATGTTTGTGATTCTAAACTTGGAAGAACAAAAATGGGGTTAGTTTGAACTCAGCTATAATTTCAAATAGACTTGTTCTTGGGTTTCTTGCCATCTTGATTCATATTCTTGCTCCTTTACCTATCCAGCATAAGATGGGATTTATTGTAAAATTGGATGGGACTTATTATCCCAGGTCTCCCTGACCATTTTAAAGGCCCCTGGCAATGGGACTGACTCTGCAAAAATCCAACACCAAAAGGTACACAAAGGATTAAGAAGACAGGCTACACAGAGCAAGAAGAGCCTAACTTTAATCTGTGGTCCGTGAGTTAACTGGTCAGCCAGTACCATAGCGTGAAGCAATTAGCCTCAATATTATTAAGCTAATAGAGGGAACAAACATCAACTAGATTGATTTCTTCTGCCTCCTTGAGTGACTGAGAAAATGTAGCAGTGCTGGAACAAAGAATACTGGTGCAGAAATTTGCTTAGGTCAGATTCCAAATACCAAATGGGCACAGGGAATAGTCCCTGTTACCGACGGATGGAGGCTTGTGGATTGTGGACAATTATTGGGATGAATTGCTGTCACTTGTCACTTGAACTACTTAAGTCGTTCACTCAGCTGTACACAAACATCAGGCTGTCTGTCTGTAGAGGTAGTGGGAAGGTTGGGAGTGGCCTGTTTATGGACAGATGGTGGTGGGGATGGGCATGGTGAGGGGAGGAGGGTGGCGATGTGTAGAAGTACTCGGAAAATTGAGGCTGTCCTGTAGCATGAGGGATGGGAGGTTTTAGCACAGCCAAGTGTTGTGGAATTGAAAGAAGCAAAACACTTAAAAATAATAAGTAAATACACTTTTCCAATTGCGGCTACAAGGCTGCATATACATTCAGATATTCTGAACAGAGCAGGGCCAACACCCGCTGATTATGATGGTCAGACCAACATTAACAGGGGAAATCCTGAAACACACAACAGACCCCTCACTAGTCTACAGAAGGGACTCATCACTTGTTTAATTGATTGACCCGAATGCCCAAAATAGTCCCCAACCAAATTTCTGGTTGGATGCTTTGCAGACGTTTTATGCGTGCATGTAGCAAGACTGATCTTATCGCTCCTGTTTTTTCCCCCAAATTGCCCACACCAATAAATCTAGCCACCTCTCTGAACAACGTGGAACATTTGTCCAGTTTAAAGACAAATTCCGAGCCCTGTTGCATGTACCTCCAAGAAACAGACTGCCCGACTCATTTCACTCAGACCTGACACAAGACTTGCACTGTATAAATCAAAGTCGAAAGGAGAAAAGGAATGTTACTGACTCCATTTTCTTCCCCCAATGTGGTTGAAGTTTACTTCAGTGTTATTTATTGCAGATAGGAAGTACTGTACTTACAGTGAGTTCACCTGACTTTTCTAAAGGCCACCAACCTCGCAGTCGCTTCTGCTGAAATATTGAGATGAGCTTAGCCTTAGAATTCTCTTCGATCATATCCAAGCCACATTTCTTAGCTGACTTGGCACCACGAGGAAATCCATTCAGATCAAGTTCAACTGACCCTACAAAAAGGTGTTAGAAAAATAAAATGCACATGTGGTATTGCCTACATTGGATCAAACCTTTCATGTTCTGGACAATGTTCTGTAATCAATATTGTATCCATTCCTTCTATTAATCACCTCTACATGTTAAGTCCATTTATTCCCCAACAGTTACCAGGCATCACAATATTCTCCATGGCCAGAAAAGCTACATCCAAAGTCAAAAGAAACAGCACAAATATAATCAATGAATCTGTGGCAACATTTAGATTCGGAATCCTTGGAAAGGGATGCTTATTCTGGATGGATATCACTAACAGACATGAAAAATGACAATTATTCCCCACATGTTTTAAAAATGCCTGTGCTGATCAGAACTAAACAGGGCAGAAGAATGAATCACTGTCACTGTTGTGAACTTTATTTATTCACTTTAACAGGTGCAAAATATAACTAAATGTTAAGAGGGTGTCACAGCTGAGCACAAAGAAAAGACAATGTAAGTATAAGAATGGGAAAAGAATGTGCTTAAAAGTGGAGATGAAGATGTGAGCCAGGAAATTCTTGTGGGCCATATTCACAGGCATTGACTAGTTGAGCTGAACAGCCTCCAATGAGCAAGATGGGCATTTAAGCAGTAATGTGTTTAGCACAAGACATAATTTTGGTAAAGGTACTGAAACTTGCACTAGGAATGGTTGCCCAGAGAATTGCTAATAGCTACTTAAATTTCCTGATAACACTCAATAAGAAGGACACATGGCATTTTGGTGAATAGCACCAATTAACAGTGTTAGTGTTGCCCAGCAGACTAGGAGTAAAGGGCACATTGATTTTGAGAAGTACTTAAAGCTATATTGGGGTTTAGCATTCACTTGCTTCTGAAGGTTTGATGAAATCAACTGTCAGGAGAAATACTGGAACGTTTGCCAAGATTTCACCAACATTCGAACAACTTTTTCCTAGACTGCCCACAGTGTAGAAAGAGACCATTCGACCCATCGAGTCTGCATCAACCCTCCAAGCACCCTGAGCATCCCACTCAGATCCATGACCCCATCTTAACCCCACAGACCCACATTTAATATGGCTAATACACTTAATTCGAGCACTCAGCAGAAGCCCACGTTGTCACAGAGAGAATGTGCAAACTCCACACAGACAGCCACCTAAGGCTGGGATCAAATCCAATTCCCTGATGCTGTAAGGAGTAGTGCTAGCCACCGTGCCACCCATGTCTGGGAATTTGGTTTTGTCTGGAAATATTTTGAATTCTGCACCTAAAAAAATAGTGAGTGCTCTGTCATTCTATTTCATTGAGTGGCTTATGAGAGTCACCAGGAGAAAGGGTGTTAATAGCCATCAATATTTTGCTAGTGGGCCCCCTTTATCTGCAGGAAAAATGGGAGGAGGATGTAAGGCCAGACTGACAGTCAGAATCTGCTGCTCAATGATGACTTGGACTCTTATTCAACCTGTGAAACCTACCTGAGTATGTCACCCAACATGTGCCACAGGTCAGGATAAGGGATGGTAGATTTAAAACCAAGATGAGGAGAAATTATTTCTCTCAAAGGATGGCGAATCTGTGGAAGTCAGTACCTCAGAGTGTGGTGGATGCTGGGACATTGAGTAAATTTATGGAAGAGATAGACAGATTTTTAATTAGTAAGGGGTTGAAGGGTAATGGGGAGCAGGCAGGAAAGTAGAGCGGAGGCCGAGATGAGATCTGCAATGATCATATCAAATAGTAAAGTAGGCTCAAGGAGTTGAATAGCTTAAATCTGCTCCTAGTTCTTATGTTCTTTATTGGAAGTGGAGGAGTGGAGCCACATTTGATTCTCCACAAAAATTGTGTTCAATCAACATTTGCAGACAAAACCTATGGGTGTATCTGTTTTAGCATCTCGAGGCAAGTTCACATTTTAGTGACAACAAGGTGCCGGGCTGGATGAACACAGCAGGCCAAGCAGCATCATAGGAGCAGAAAGGCTGACGTTTTGGGCCTAGACCCCTCGGATTCTCCAGCATCTGCAGTTCCTACTATCTCTGATTCACATTTTAGTGACCTGTGATTGGGGCTAAAACTGTGAGCCTAAGACTAGACTTTCAGAGAGGCATCTTACATTTGTTCACCACTCATTTAGCTTCTGTCCACTAAAATAGGCCCTCATTGTGTGCAGAATGTTCTCTGCTGTGGTGAGAAAGTATTTAATCAGACAGAAATGAATAATACCCACTTACAGACCTCACCCTGCTGGCTCTCTAATACTCAAGCAGTGGCAAGTGCTGCAAGGGAGGTCTGAAAAACAAATTCTATCATGGTTCTTTGGAGGCGGTTCCCAGAGCAGGGGGTGGGTGGGTCTCATTCAAAAGCTCTCAGTGCCTCCTTGTGAGAGACAATATGGGGACGGGGAAGGGGAAGGGGGCAACTGCTGGCAGTCATACCTGGCCCTGTTGGCAATATGCCTCTTTGAATTCCCTTGTGTTTTCCCAGTACATGTCTCCCCTCCTGTGTCTCAGTCCCTCGACATTCCTGGGCCTCGGGCAAATATAGCGCTGTCACTGTCCTGGCGTTGATGCTGAGCAACAAAGAGGTGCTGCAATAGGGTCGGGTAATGTCAAATTAACTGGCAGCTCTCAGTGGGCAGGACTTCCTCGATCCCTGGGAAGGTCCAATGTTACCCAGTTATTTGCCTTATCAGCACTCAATGTGGCAGACTCTCCTGAAATGAGGCACTGTGGTGCTCACTCACTAGCTGTCCAGTCAATGTGTGATCCCTAAGTAACCTACATCAAATTCTGCCCAATAATTCCACATAACCAGAAGGCATATAAGAGGAGGAAATAAAATGTTATGATCTAGAATGGACTAGCTAAAAGGGTGGTAGAAGAATATTAGATAAAGGCATTGGATGAATCCTTGAAGAGGAAATCTTTGGAGGGCTGGTGAAGAAACAGTGAAAAAAAAATGTACTTCTGGGATAGCCTTCAGGCCAAGTAGGCTGAATGGCCTCTTTCTATACTGCATGGTTCTCTCTAAACCCAGAAACAATAAGTATTGCTGTGATTATTTAGCTATAATGTGATGCATGCTCCTTCATAAGGGGGTCAGTTAGCTCAGTTGGTTGAATGGCTGGGTTGCAATGCAGACTGACACTGACATCATAGACCCAATTCCTGCACAGGCTGAGGTCACCATGAAGGTCCCACCTTCTCAACATTGCACCTTGGCTGAGGTGACCTCCAGTTTAATCTCATTACCAGTCTTCTCAACAGCAATGTTACCTGCTTCTTCATTGTATCCTTACTGTAAGGCCATTCAGCCTATTGAGTCCATACTATCCTTCTGAAGAACATTCCATCCAGACCCAAACCCACCCCCCCACCCTATCCCTGCAACCCTGCATTTCACATGGCTAATCCACCTAGCCAGCACATCCTTGGACACTATGGGCAATTTAGCATAGCCAATCCACCCAACCTGCAAATTTTTGGATGGTGCGAGGCAACCGGAACGTCTGAAGGAAACCCACCCAAACACGGGGAGAATGTGCAAACTTCTTATAGATAGTCGCCCGAGGATGGAATCAACCTCAGGACCCTGGCACAGTGAGGCAACAGTACTAACCACTGAGCCACCATGCTACCATGCTATTGTTACAGGAGAAGTTGGCCCAGGAGGAGTGGACAAAGAAAGAACAATGCAGCACAGGAACGGGCCCTTCGGTTCTCCAAGGCTGTGCCAACACATTTTGTCCTTCCATACTAAAACTGTCTTCAGCTACAGGATCCAAATCCCTCTATTCTCTTCCTATTCATTTATTCTTCCAGGTGCCTCTTGAATGTTGCTGTTGTGTCTTCTCCTACCACCTCCTATGGCAACATGTTCCAGGCACTCACCACCCTTTATGTGAAAAACTTCCCTCGCACATCTCTTTTAAACTCCCCCCCCATCGCCGTCCTCGCACCTTGAACCTGTGTCCCCTGGTAATTGACTCCCCCCCCCTGGGAAAAGACTTCATACTTTTCAGTCTATCCATACCATTCATAATCTTAAATTAGGTCACCCCTCAACCTCCTGCGTTCCAGTGAAAACAATCCCAGTCTATCCAAGATAACAAGGTGTAGAGCTGGATGAACACAGCAGGCCAAGCAGCATCAGAGGAGCAAGTAGGCTGAAGGCTTCCTTCAGAAAAGGAAGGGTCTAGGCCCGAAACATCAGCCTTCCTGCTCCTCTGATGCTGCTTGGCCTGCTGTGTTCATCCAGCTCTACACCTTGTTATCTCAGATTCTCCAGCATCTGCAGTTCCTACTACCCCAGTCTATCCAACCTTTCTTCGTAGCTAAAATTCCCCATACCAGGCAGTATCCTGGTAAACCCTTCCTGTACCCTCTCCAAAGCATCCACATCCATCTTGGGTTATGCTGGAAAACCATGGAGTGGGTTTTATCAACACTGTGCCATTCCTGGTATCTGGAATGGAGCTGTGTGTCAAGTCGGTTTTCTTTTGCCATTAGAATTTAAAAAATGGAAGTGGTAGCAATTTGTATACAAAATACATTCAATTCCCAGTTTGGGAAGCTTTTAATTGGTGAAACCAGTTATCAACTGAAAGTGTTACATCCACAGATGTCCTATTAAAGAGTCATTGATGGAGACTCTGCCACAGGAGCACAACTTCCTTTCCCAATTCCATCCTCATCTATTTTAGATTTTAGAACTCAAAGGCAATTTTTTTTTTCCAAATGAAATCTCACCTGTAAATATTTCACATGATTTTAGTTTCACTTTATTCATGTGTATATCTTTATTATTCATGCTAGTATATTTAGAGAGCTAAATGTACTGGAACACTTCATGGTTGGCATGCGCAGACGATTACATGAGATTTAGGGACATTACCCTTCTTGTGGAAGAAATAATGTGGCATTCATTCGTTACTGAATTTTTTTATTAGTGTCAATGTTGAACTCCCCTGTCTGTGGGACATGACTGAACTTGCTGGCACAGCTGGCTTCCCCCCGCATGTTGTTCGAGATCAGTCTCAACAGGGATAATTAAAATGTTGTTATATGAATTTAAAACCTGTAAGGATTCTGGCAGCCAACACCCTGAGATAGAACCACATTTGGAAAGTACTGACCCTGCCCTTCATTTTCTTACCTTGACTGATTGTTGCCATTAACACACAGGATGCCAGGTCTTTCCCACTTCACTCCTCTGTGGTCCTGACTCCAGTTTCTGTACTCTTCTGGTGCCCTATTCCAATCCTCCATGACCTGATCTCACTTCACAACCTCCTTCTTACTGAATCATCCTAGCCTGTCTCGAACCTCCATGCAGAAGACCATCCTCTTGCTCCCCTCCCTTGGGCTGTCAAAGTTTAATAAGGAAAACTGCTGACCTTACACATAGCTGCAGAAAACCAATTGGTGAAGGCCACCTTCAGACAATCATGAACATAATATCATGAGATTCTTGTGTGCCACTGACTTTATCATCAAACTTCATTGAAAACTACTTCACATTAATGAGTATTCATGGAATGCAAATGCATTGTGATTTTGAACATATGAAAGGCCAGCTTAATTTTTGACACCTTGCTGACTTTATAGCTGCATCTCAACCCACCATCAGGAAGTAATATTTCATTTCCTGCCGAATTGAGTAACGTTGCATACCACATTTTCCATTCTTGGAGGCTCCATAAAATTCCGCATATATTCCTGAGCTTCAGCATCAACTCAATACTGCATCCCAGCATTTTCTGAGGGTCCCATCAGAATTGTTGTGATGGGGAGGGTATAATTCATGCAAAAACTAATACATGCATTGAAGTAATAAGCAAAGTAAGTCACCCCCACCATACAACTTGTTGTTTAAGTCACGTAATGTTAGCCCTAGAAATCCTTACATTACTGGCAAGGTTTACTTAAAATTTAAACTCCCCAAAAACTGATGTAATAATTTTTTGAGAGATAATTTGTTCTCTGGATGTTGGTAGTAAACCAGTTTTTACTGACTAATCCTAGTTGACCTGGAAGCATTAAGTAACAGATCATGTGATGAGAAGGCTGAACAAGCTAAAGTTTTGCAAGCTCCCAAAAGGCAATTGTTAGGCCAATTGCATTTGATAGCAAAATGGCAGCAGATATTCAAGTTTTCAGGACAGTACACAAATTTAATTTCATACTTTGTCCCAACGGGGCTTTCTGTACTCCACTTCTGGTAGTTGGTGCTAACCAAAATGCACTTGGACATGATTAGGAATTAACACTTTAAAACAATTGATTGATTTTGATTGATTGTCTCGTGTACCTAAATACAGTGAAAAGCTTTGTTTATGAGTGGTACAGGTAGATCACAGCAGGCAAAGGATGTACAGATCAAAAAGACTTGGAAGCATATAGGTTACATTGCAGGTTATATTATTTGAGGCTGGATTTCATTCAACAGTCTGATAACGGCCAGAAAGAAGCTGTTCCTGAACCAATTAAGCCTTCTACGGTATTTAAACTGGCATAGTTACAGGTGGGTGGGGCCCAAATAACAAGTATCAGCTGTCAATCCAGGATAGGTTTAAAATGACTGTGAAATTAATAGAAGTGATGACCATTGAGTCTGAATCTTTGTAGCTATTGGAAGTCTCACCATGCTAAGAAATGCTCCCAAGTTCTCAAATGTGCAAAATGCAAACCCTTTTTTCTTTCATGTCTGTTTACCTCCTCTGTATTAGATTTGAAACCAGAATTTATCATTTGAAAAGACAATATTTCAATAGTTTCCTCCCAAGTTTTTTCTTGTACCCTTCACAAGAGAAATTGAAGCATTCCAAGTTTCTGGCTTACCTAAGAAGTCGTCAGAAGAAAGCCTTTCAAAATCCCAGACTTGAAGTACTAGGATTGCAGGGACTTTATGTTCTGTCTTATCCAGAGAAAAAATTGACTCCCTTTTGCTTATAACCATCTGTTTCTCCGCAGGTATGTAGTTGAAAGGAAAGATAAAACGCCAATTGAAGTTTCCCTCCCCAGTCAAGGAGTTGTAATGCACATCTGTTTCCTTCTTATCATCTTCTTTTCCCTTTAGCCAGCTAAAGAAAAATATAGTTGAAATGTTAAAAAATATATTGTGCCTCAGATTTACACCACTGGAGGGAAAAATGGCTCCTATGTCTAGAGAAGAATCTGTTGCATTCCCACTGTTCAACATTTTTATGAACAAATTTGGATCATTTTGTGTGTGTGATGATTTGCAAAAGGCATAAAGAAGGCTAATCTGGAATTGTGTGCTGGAGCCCATTGAAGGGTCCGCAGTCAGTAATGCCCAGCACTTTGGAAAGTCATGGGGTTAGACTTTACCTTAGGTCAATTGGTTTAAATGGGATGGCTCAGTGACTTGAAAGTGGCCCAATGCCTTGTTCAAGCAAACATCCTGGCTGCTGCCCCCTTTACCCCAGGACCTCATGCCCTGCAGCCAAAAGTACTTTGCTTGGTTCAGGCAGTAGCTTCTTTTGATATGCGAGCAAGAAATTTCCCTGCAAGCTGCCAGTGACCAACGACATAAATGACAACCTATTGTTCATTTTAATCAAAACTGAGCTGTACACGCAACATGGAAATCAGCAATGAGAAACTCAAAAATAAGTTTCAGTTATTACTTAAATATATTTATTATTTATTTGTTGTTTTACTTGCATGTTTTGAGTGTCTAGGAAACACAGTGGGTTTTGTACAATTATTCAATGTCACAGCTGCCGCAGTCCTCCCCACACAATGCAATAAAAATTTTGTATTATCTCATGCTCTTGGCAAAGTTGGCCTATTGATCTATTGATATTCTGCCAAGTTGGAGCCTGCCTGTTTTCCAGCCCTAAAAAGTGGGGTTGGGTTCTGAAATGGCGCAGGGACTCATGCTGCCTTGGGCATACCTACTACAGTTGTGGAAGTTATAGTAAAAGTTAAGTTAGAAAACATTTGTAAGGTTTTGCTGGAGGGAGAAAAGGCAGAAAAACTTACTCAGACTGTAGGCCAAAGTCAAACTTTACAAGTATGCACTTACTGTAGCATTAAGCATCTCAGTTGGGCAGAGGTTAATTTGGAAGGTAAAGTTAATTGCAGCAAGTTGTGTAATTAATGAGATGTAAATGGATGTATATTCTCACCACCTGAACACAAAGATCGACTCACCTTCTGAGGTGGGAGAACTCTATTGCTGAAGTTTATTTTGACAGTGAATATCTGTTTGTTGGATTCTTGCCCCAGTTAAATCATCACATCCATCTTTACTCCCGTCTCGTCTGGGAGCAGATTGTGGTTCTCAGTGAGTTTCTGGTCAAGTGTTCTGTGGAATGCCCAGTTTAATGTTTAATTGTGTAGATTTGGTATATTTTTGGTGGTATTGACTGAGTGGATGAAGGGCCTCTTCTGTAATATATAATTCTATTCTGAAAAATCTTGGTAAAGTTCTAACTACATTTTAATCCCAATTTCTAATAAAGACTCTTTTTGAATTTAGAAAAGTAAATATTAACCACATGCAGATCTTACCCCTTGATGTAGATATCGCTTGATTTTTGACCAGTAATAAAATTCTCATCTTCTAAGACAACATCTTCTGTATTCCAGATAATTATTCGTAGTTCGTACCTGCAATCAAAGTCCATCAAAGAATATCCCAGGTGCATTCACCACAAAATTAAAGGTCAGCTTATTTCCTTAGACAACATGGACTCAATTTTAGTAGCCACCAGGATGGCTCGCCCATTGTCCTGTCATGGGGATGTTTCCCAGCAGTGGGTTATATGGAAGAGTGGCTGCCTGCTTCAAGGAGGGAGCCATTTTATGGGGCCACCTGCATTTTGGCCAACAACAGGGTGGCTCCTGCCTTGTGAGATTGCTGCCAGTTTGATGGCAGCGGCCTCCCTGTCGCAACCCGTGGCTGGTGGATTTGGGAGTAGGATTTGCAGGAGTCGCCCTCAGAACCAGAGGCTCCCCACGGGCACGAAGCACGAAGCAGAAACAGGAAGCTATCCCCAGGGTACAGATGATCACATGGGGTTTCTCCACTGCAATTTAGGGCCTAGCATCTACAGTTCACTAAATGATCAATTGCTTGCATTCCAGTCTGGGGGCGCCTTCATTTTGAGGCACCCAAGAGATCTCCTGCCTGCCTCGGACCAGCTCCCAACTAACTGTTGCCAATGAGACTTTAGAGTTCCCAGCCTTTCGATTGGACTAGTTTCCATCGTGTTTTTTATCATCAGATCTTTGCGGAGAGATTACTTCCAGGTCAGTTTATCCAGGAAGCTTTATCGATCCATTGAGACCATTGATCTCAAAATCTGGGCCCAAAAACGTTGAAGACGTACTCAACAGAGTGAGTAATATCAGGCCAAAAGTATCCATTTTCCAAGCATGCTCTATTAAAAAAGGACACAAGAAGAAGAGTATAGCAAGGTAAAAGAAATAACTTGAAGCTCTCAATTCCACTCTTGGTCTAGGTTTCACTGAGGTGCTGTGGTAAGGCACAGATAATTTCAGAAATAGACTTTAGAAAGTTTAGTTTCAAAGTGGATTTTTAAAAAAATTGCATACAATTTGATTTGATGTCAATTTGATAATCTGTACCGTACCCTATCAGTTAAGGTCACAGGAATAAATCATCACAGGGAGCTCTGAAGAGAGGAATAAAACAGCCAGTAGCTTTCACTGTAAGATCAAATGATTTAATGGGGTGAATGGCTGTAAGATAAAGCTTAATATAATTTTAAATAATAAATTACAGACATGGGGCAGGACACTGCTCTTACAAAACCCTACCATGGTATTTGCCTTTCAATTAGAATTTTGCTCTTACCTTTTTGGTTTACGAGGTGATATGTCAACAGCAGGACCAGGAGGAGGCATGTCCATTGGAAACATGTCCACCCACATCTGGATACGGCCCTGAAGAATTTTCAGAAGCAGTTGCTTGAAATTGAATAACCAGTCACATGCTTCCATTAAATTCAACACGATGCTAAAGAGATGATTACATTAGGGACACACGATTGGAAAATACAGAATTAAACAATGGCCTCATGAGAGATTGTTGAGGACATCTCGCTTTTGAAAGTAGGCAAGGAAAACCTGAACAAGTGATATTGAAATGTCCCTCCAGTGTGTACCTCCATCTTATTTCCCTTTCCATACTGAGCAACTGATCCAATAACACTACTTTTTTTAGCATCTCCATCAAAGTTGAAAGTTTCTGTCATTGTCTCAAGATAACAAAGAGGACAGAAAGTAATGATACGTTTCCAAAATGGTCAACACTCCATTCTAGAAGCATAAACAGACTATCCTTTAGAATTCCACACCCTTCACACTACAGATGTGCACTTTAATGCAGCCCTTCAGCGTTGTGTCTAGTTGATGAATTGCACCAGGTTCTGAAAAGGTTTTGATTATAACTAGTTTTCAAATTAAAGAAAAAAACCTTGTACTCAGATGGAGTTTCTGAAGAAGGGTCCCGACCTGAAATGTCAACTTTCCTGCTCCTCTGATGCTTCTGGCCTGCTGTGCTCCTCCAGCTCCACACTGTTATATCTTGCAGTCAGATACTGCCCTTTTATGTCCTCAGGAATGCTCAAAACACAACAAAGCTAATTTGTTGCTTTTGAATATCAGCCAATGCAATTTTGTTGACAAATGCAGCAGCCAATTTTTGTGCAAATAACGTGATACAAATAACAGGCAAGCAGCAAGATTGTCTACTTGTAGCGATTTTGGTTTTGTGGGGAGACAAGAACTCGACCACAAAGCCAAGCTAGCAGGAATACACTATAACCATAAGCTGACAAACATGGTTATGAGCAGATGAACTCATTGCCACTAGGAGCCTACTAATATATTAATGATTAATTTATATATTTGGATGGATGTATACTTCTCAAAGAACTGCATATTTTTCTCAACAAACTGTGGAATAAATTTTATTTCCAAAATTAATTAAAATACATTCTTGACTAGCACCAATGAATCATCTGGAGCATGAACTGATGGTTAAATATGTTTGAAATTGAAGAACACTAAGTTTTGTCATTGTGACTACAGCCACGCAACAGGAAAATTTTGCAAAGCATGGAAAGGAAAGTTGTAATCAATTAATATCACATTCCCGCATTATCCCACAATGTTTCCAATTTAAAATTCTAATTTATCTCCACAGCCTCACTCATTTCTATCTCTGTAACTTCCTCTAGTGTGACAACTTGTCCAAACCTCTGCATTTGTTCTATGCTGACCTCTTGCACATTTTCAATTTCCTTCACTTTTTGAATGCCTTTGAATAATAGGTGATAAACTCTGGAATTCCCACCTGAGGGGTCTGTTTCTTGACCACACTCTCTTCCTTTATGACAGTTTAAAATCCACTTCTTTGACCAAGCAGAATATCTTCTCATGTGGCTCAGCATCAAAATCTGTTTGATACTGCCTCAATAAAGTGTTTTGGGACATTTTACCACACTAATTGTCCAATATAAAGCAACTAGTTGTCGTTAGGTAGCTTAAAATTGTGCAGCTCGAGAAAGCATTCAATTGTCCCTTACCAAAGTAGTGACCATAATCCATTTATAAACAAAGCAATCTAACATCTCAAAGAGATATTTATCAAAATAATCAAACTAATCAGAGATATTATCACACACCTCTGGAGAAGGTGGAATTTGAACTCAGCTCTTTTGCTTCAGAGACAGGGACAATACCATTGTGTCACAAGAGACCTAACAAAATGGAGTTTAGTGTATTCATGGTTGTAATACTGCCTGATATAAAACTGCAATTCTTTAGCTCCCAGTAATTCATGGATGTTTTAGGAAGTTCATGCATTAAACACATGTTAGGACTACAAGCATTGTGTCATTATGGAGGTAGGTTATATAAGAAGACCACATCATGCAATGGTTGAAGTTCTCAGCTCTCAGTCATTAAGAACTTTGTCCTGCTAGTCCAGTTAAATTACCTGTTCCATGCCTGGTTTGTCCAAATGGTAGAGGGGTCGTGTTTCAATGTGCTCAGGAACCAATTTATATCCAACCCCAGGAATTTCTGACCAATGATGTAACACCTTTAAAGCCAAGTGTTCATGTGATATCACCTCCTCACCTAAATTTTAAAAAATAGAATATTCTTAGACCATATGGAGAACAATTATTGCTACTTAGAGGCAGCTGAATTACACACAAGTTCTAAAACAACAGAAAGAACAAGCAGAGATAGTAGGAACTGCAGATGCTGGAGAATCTGAGATAACAAGGTGTAGAGCTGGATAAACACAGCAGGCCAAGCAGCACCAGAGGAGCAGGAAGTCTGACGTTTCGGACCTGGACACTTCTTCAGAAAAACGGACCTTCTGAAGAAGGGTCCAGGCCCGAAACGTCAGCCTTCCTGCTCCTCTGATGCTGCTTGGCCTGCTGTGTTCATCTAGCTCTACATCTAGGAAGAACGAGCAAGTGGAATATGTAGAGAACTGTGAAGCATCCACTCCAACAGGAAAAATTGAAGAACTATTTCTTAAATAGGGAAAGGCTAGCTAGAAAATATTGGTATTCAGAGAACACCCTTGTATATGAATCACTGAAAGTTAACATGAAGTACCTTGGAACGTCTCATATATTAAAAGCACTAAAAGCACACAACGTGATCTTGATGCCCTGAAACTGCTTTGATGGAAGTGATGTAGCTCTTTGCTGATCAAAAGTGATACCATTGATCACTGAACTTTTCCTTAAACTTGACATCAAAGTAGTATGACACTAACACAATATAAAATGGACACACGCATAAGGCAAACTAATCACTCAAGAAGGGATGACACAACAGTATGTAATAGAAGGCCAGTACAGATTGTATGCAATGAAGGAAGATAACGAATAATCTGAAAAAGAAGGTAATTAACATCCTATGCAAAAGTATAATCTCTGCTTCACATGAGGATAATACTATACATGTTTAATTACCAAAAGAATATCATAGGAGATCCTTACACCTTCTTTCTCGGTTATATAACTCTATAGAGAAAATACATTGAGGAAGAAAGAGAACTTTGAAGATTTCCTTCCCTCAAAGACATTAGTGAGTCAGTAGAATTTTTACCTCAATGAACACATTTTTTGAGATTTCCTTATTAAATTTCACCATTTCTCATGGTGGGATTTGAAGCCATATTCCCAGAGTATTAACCTTACGTTCTAGATTACTAATCCAGTGATAACATCACTGTGCCACCATCTTTATTCTTTACGCTGTAGAATGTTGTATATATAGAAGTTTATTATAAAAATGATTATAAAATCATACTATGAAATCAAATGGGGCGTGGACAGGGTGAACAGCTAAAGTCTTTCCCCCACGTGAGTCCAAAATTAGAAGGCATAGGTTTAAGGTGCAAGGGAAAGATTTAGAAAGGACCTGAGGAGTAACTTTTTCATGTAGATAGTGGTGCACGTACGGACTGAGCTGCCAGAAGAAGTGGTGGAGGTAGGTACAATTACAGAATTTAAAAACCATCTGGATCGATATATGACTAGGAAGGGTTTAGAGGGATATGGACAAAATGCTGGCAAATGGGACTAGATCAGACTGGGATGTCTGGTTGGGTGAACAAGTTGGACCAAATGGTCTGTTTCCATGCTATTCAACTCTATGACTCTATATTTCACAGATATATCAGTTTAATAATAACTGTGATAGGTGTATTAAACAACCAGCGCTCCTTTATTTGTGAAGGTACTAATTTGCAGTCAAGAATCCCATAATTAGCTCTGTAATTATGGGGAGTCTGCTGAAGGGATCAGGAAAAAGAGCAGAACAGCTTAAAAGTGAGACGTCCAGATTCAACACTGATCTCAAAACCTGCTATACAACCACCAGCCACAATGTTGAAAAGGGAAAATGTTACAATTGCACATGTTACTGTAATATCTCTGTATTCCAGGCTTTTATTAACATAAATGTTGATATTCACCGTCTTCCATAAAGATTGTTTTGCCCGCAAAGACTTTGCCTTCCACCTCAATCTCTCCCGATCTGAAGTGGGGTCCATGGAGATGGTGTTCCTTACATATTCTGCTCAGGATTTCAGTTGGTTTCATTGCATCACGCCAGGCATTGTAGCCTTCTCTGCAATTATTACAGATTATAATCAAATGAAACCTTAGTTGTGTCTTTTCATCAGGTTGAGAAAATTATGCCAGCTTTGAAATCTACTGACTGTTGAGGGCTCAAAACAACAAGAGTAAAAATGAGGGACATCCTCCTCAATGGGAAAACATTCTAAAGATTAATAAACCTCAGACAAGAAATTCCTCCTCTATCCTCATCTCCATCTTAAATGAGAGACCCCTTCCTATTTGTTTTTATTAATTCATGGAATGTGGACATCATTGGCTGAACCAGCCTCCTTAAGGGCAGCTAGAGATGGACAACAAATGATGACCCAGCCAGCGATGCCCACATCACATGAACGAATCAACAAAAATTGTGCTGCCTATTCTTAAATTCCCTTCACGAGGGGAAGCATCATCTCAGTTTATAATCAGTCAAGTTCCCTCAGAACAAACACTCAAAATACACAGGGGTGGCAGGTAAATGTGCCCCTGAAAAAGCCTGAAAATGCTGGTGAAAATTCAGTCACTGAGGTGACCAATTGGACAAAACATGCCATTATAAGTGGGTAAGACAAAATCAGTGAGAAGTTGATTCTCCAATCACAGATTCTGTTTCTGATGCTGATGGTTCATTTCCACCAATCACAAATTCCCTCCCTCCCAAACTTGCTGCTCTTCCAGAGACAGAATCAATGATTGGAGAAGCAGTAAGAATGGAGGTGGGAACTTTTGATTGGTGGAACTGAACCCCACTGAGGCGACCTGAGTTTCAACCAGGTTGGGTTACTGTGTCTGACTGTTAGTTGAGAGGTGTGGAAACGGGGGAGTGGAGACAGGAACCCCTGAGATTGATCTACCAATGATTGGGTAGGTATCATGGCCTTTATGCATCATGTAATTTTATCCATTATTGAACGAGTTTATTGGAGCTTATAACAATATTATTAATAATTATGCTTAATATTCAACATGCTGAGAGGTGATGGCACACAGGAGAAATTTCTGTCAGGGGTAGCTGATGTATTAAATATTTTTTATCAGTAGAAGAAAAGAATACTTTGAAAATTGTTTCTATAGGCAACAGTGACCATCCTGCATTCAACTTTTATGAAGTTTTTCAGAAAGCTATTTGCAAATTGTATTTTTTCCAGTTAAAGAATAATTCTTCCTTGGAAAATCAGTATTAATGATGCACCATTCTTACATCACGTGTGATCTATCTAAAGAAGAAACCCTAAACTAAAAATGCAGATGAGAATATTACTACATGAGCCCATTTCCTGAAAAAGCAATTAGTGAACATGAAAAGGAGCCCTGAAAATCAAAGAGTGTCCCTCAGGAAAATCTCTCAAACAGTCCTAAAAAAAATTGACCCCTGCTCAGAATCTTACATGTTCCAATAAGATAATTTCATATTCTTCTAAATTCCAATGAATATAGGCCAAACCCGCTCATCTTTTCCACGTAAACCAATCTCTTCATCCCAGGAATCAGCTTTGTGACCGTTTTCTGATCCCTCTAATTAAGGTGACCAAAACTGAACACAGTTCTCCAGATGATATCTTACAAATGCCTTGTACAGTTGTAACAAGACTTCACATTTTTATACTCCATCTCCCTTACAATAAAGGTCAACATTCCATTTGCCTTCCTAGTTACTTACTGTAACAGCCTATTAACCTAGGTGATTCACTTACAAGGACACCCAGATTCCTCTATACTGCAGCATTCTGCAGTCTCTCTCCATTTAAATGATATTCTGATTTTCTGTTCTACTGAAAACTGGATAGTCTCACATTCTTGTACATTATACTTGTCTGCCATACTTTGTCCGCTCGCTAAACGTATCAATGTCTTTTTGTACATTCTTTGTATCTGCCTCACGATCTGCCTTCCTACTTATCTTTGCATTATAAGAAGATTTGAATACAATACAATTTGTCCCTTTATCCAGATTATTAATAAAGATTATAAAGAGTTAAAGTCACCTCTTTCACTAGTTCTGGTTTGCCAACCTGAAAATGATCATTTACCCTGAGTACTGCTGTGCAGTAACTTCTGATGTGAAACTGTATCAAATTCCTTTTGGAATTGCAAATACATTACATATAACAGCGCTATATCCACCCTGCTTGTTACATCCTCACAAAACTCTTAACACATTTGCTAAACATGATTATGGAGTCACATATAGCCCAAATGTGTTACGGATGACAGACTTCCTTTCCTAATTGCCATAAATGAATCAGATGGGTTCAATGCTTTGATGGTCATTATTATGTTTTATTTTCCAGATTTGTTTTATAAACTAAATTTAAATTCCCAAACTGCCATGATAGGGTTTGAACTTATAATTGTCTTATCATGAACTAGATCATTAATCCCAGCATTACTAGTTCAGTGACATAATAATTAACCCATTAACTTGCTGGAATGTGTATCTATTGAGTCAAACAAAGCCTTTCCACAAGCCAGCAATAGAAGTTCAGTGACATCAATCTTGCTAATTTCCCTTTCTAAGGCAGCTTAAAGAGAAATTGCATCTTAAACCTATTTCCTTCTAAAGAGATTTCCTACCATTGTATTGCTAATAGTTTGCAAATCAGTGGGTGATTTTATACTGCATAATTAAATAATGAGCCATGGATCACAAAGGACCAGAGTCATTTGGCTCCACTGAAGAGAAATAATTGGTTATTAGCTTGAGGGATACCACTTCTCATCCAATACAAAGCAAGGCAAGGGGGTAGCTTCCATGAACTATCACAGCCGCACTGGTATCATTCTTCATCACACATAGGCATCCAGCTAACTGAGCAATCCCACGCACAAATTTACAGCAAACCAATTCTTCTCTAACAGTTGCGTGCGGTGTTACAGGTATATCTGCCCTTTCTGGATAGTAGACTCAGACAAAACCCATCCTTACATCTCATATTTGTATGGTAGCCCGCAGGTAGCTCTGTACTTGCTGTAAAAGCGGTTCTCCAGATCAATCTTAGTTGATCCAATCAAATCATCTGTTCCAACCAAATCAAAGTCATAGATTGTTATCGTGAGCAGAGATTCCATCGGGAACGTAGCCTCAATCTCATAGGATCTGTCAGGTGAAGGAAAGGATTATTGTACAAAAGGTAATTTTTTTTCCCTATTAACAGAAGATGAAGACTGAATAATTTTAGCAATAAAGTATTAAGCATAAGAAGTCAGAGCTCCAGAGTTTGCAAAATTGATGTGATAAAGTTATACTTTGGTCTTCATTTTTTAGTGAAACATAGAATTCTTGAAAATTCAATCTCAAGTAGATTTTAATTGGAGTAAATAAAATGGTGCCACTGCAAATTTTCAAAGTTTTAGTTTTAAGATAAGAGGCAAGTAAAACAAATATTCATAGCAAAGAACTTATGGTTCCCTCCAGAGTTCAAGATATAGCTTTGGAATCAAATAATTCTAATTCACTGTCTAGTACAATATGATATACACTGGATTTTAGAATTGTGTAGCTCTTAAAATGCAATTGCAGTAAAAGTGAATATATCTTATTAGAGAGATGGATGCTTTAATTCAAAGACATTTCAATATACCATCCAAATAATCATAAGAGATGACCTTTTGTAGCATGCGCAGCATCTACTTTTAAATTCCTTCTTAAAAATCAGCTTTGAAACAAAGGCATTCATCTGCAACATATTTCCTTTACTGATTGGAACAAATTTAGTGTTTTATTAACATCCTTCATTGTCAACAACAAGCTCAATAGAGCTAGGAGTTGGTAAGTGCACATTTCAATGCACAAGCACAGAGAAATGTGAATGATAGTGTAACAATGCCAGTTATTTATTCATTTGTGGGATATGGGTATCGCTGGCTGGCCAGCATTTATTGTCCATCCCTAGCTGTCCTGCTGACTGTTCAGATACTATCAGGCCTGTGTCATGCAACAGGCCCAAAATGGGCTGCAATTTTTCACAGATGGTGGCCCCACTGAAAAGGTTAGGGAGAGCTCACCTCTACATCTTTGGGAAGCCAAAACCTAATTTTTATAGCCTTCAGGTTCTTAAATGTGGAAGGTTATGGCTTCCAGTTCCATCTGGGAGGATGTGCCACCTTCAAGAGATGCCAGTTCCCACTCAGATAATCAGTTCTCCATTTCCAGCACGGCTCCTAATCCAACACTGCCACATCACCTCACCAGCTGCAGATAAAATATCAGCGGTGGCAGGAGAAGGTCCTTCAGCGAGTAACTCACCTCCTGACTTCCCCAAACCTGTCCACCATCTACAAGGCACAAGTCAGGAGTGTGACATAATACTCTCCACTTGCCTGGATAAATGCAACTCCAACAACACTTAAGAAGCTTGACACCATCTAGGACAAAGCAGCCCACTTGATTGGTATTACATCCATTAGCATCCACTCCCTCTATCAACGAAGCTAAGTGCAGCAGCGTGTACTGTCAACAAGATGCATTGCAGAAATTCACCAATGATCCTCTGATAGCACCTTCCAAGCTTACAATCACTTCCAACTAGAAGGACATGGGCAGCAGATACTTGGGACCACCACCACTTTCAAGTTCCCCTCCAAGCCACTAAACAGCCTGACTTGGAAATATATTGCTGTTCCTTCATTGTTGCTGGGTAAAAATCCTGGAATTCCCTCCCTAATGAAATTATGAGTCAACCCACAGAAGGTGGACTGTAGCAGCTCACTACCACCTTCTCAAGTGCAATTAGGGATGGGCAATAAATAGTGGCCAGCCAGCAACGCCCACATCCCACAAAATGAATTTTTTAAAAAGCCATGCATTGGATACTTCAGAGCTTCAACTGATTTAATTGTGGGCAAGCAGCATGAAACCTATGTCCATCATTGGTAGAATACCTGAGAAGGTGGGTAGGCAACAGCCTCCCCATCCCCTTCATCCCACCCAATTTTTTGCCTCCCCACTTCTCCCCTCCAACCTGGCTGTTAGGTGCAAGTGAGATTCTAGCAGTGGTGACAGCAGCAGAATTTAACCCTTCATATGCCCTTTATGCTCACTTGTAACCTGTAATACTAAACCTGATTGGTGCAGTTGTCTCACGTGTGGCTCAGTACTCAAAACGCTATCTTGAACCTCTAGTCTGCACCTTGTCTAACTATTTATAAGATTGGAACATTTACAGACAATGTCAGACATCAACACACACGTGAGCACTTATCTCCTGACCTTCCAAATAGTGGATTAAGCTGTTTGGGGATGTAATTATCACGATCCTTAATTTCAGTCTTTCCAAGTTGTAGAACAATGTAAGGATCAGCCTTTCCATCAGGGTCAGCAGGGTGGAGGTTAGTTGCCTGATGCAGGATGAACAAATAAAAGAAACACTTGATTGAGATATTTGTACATCAATGAAACACATTTATTTTAACATGTAACTTTGTACTAATAATGCTCAATGGTGACTTTACAGACCAGGAACTGCAAAAGAAGTGAATACTTGACCAAAGTATGAATGAATAGATTAGTTAAAATATAAAAACACAATTTGATCTGTTTTACCATGTTGATTTTGGGGGTCTATGGAAATAAAGAAACTGGCCTTTGTTACTGCTGCTAGTCTCAATCAGAACTGGGAACAGATATGAGATATCCTTTCAGGTGTGGAACCCAGCTATTCCAAATATTTATAAATACTGTTTCATGCTTTGTTTTGTATTTTTTTTTAAAGTTCCATGCCATGCACGTAATTCTCATCAAAGGATGAAGAATTAAGATTAATATTCAAAGCTGAGTGAAATATCAATGTTACTTACTGCAACAATGTAGACTCTAATTAATACTTTGACTGGGGTGTTTGACGGCATTCCATGTAAAATTTTACATTGTTCATCTGTATCATAATTGTCAACACATTTCCACACGTGGAATGATCCCTGAAAATAGATGAGAAGAAAGAATGCTGTTTAGAACATAAGAACATAACAGCAGAAGTAGGCAGTTCAGTCCCTTGAGCCTGCTCAATTTTTTAATACAACCATGGCTGATCTCATCTTGGCCTCAACTCCACTCTCCTGCCTGCTCCCCATAACCCTTTTACCCATTTAAAAATCTGTCAATCTCCTCCTTCAACTTATTCCATGTCGCAACATCCTATGCACTCTATGGTAGGGAATTCTACTGATTCATGACCATTTGAGTGAAGTGATTCTTCCTCTTTTACACTAATTCTAACTAAAAATTGGCATAAAAATTGAATGCGAACAGGCAGCAGAAATGGAGCTCCCAATAATCCAGCCTTTTGTCCTCCATTTACCATTGTTTTTCTGCAGCTGCTCAATCCCTCAACTCCACATTTACACTCTCTCAACACTTCGATTATAGCACTCATGTTCAAATCTCTGTGCCATTGGCTCTGCATTCCAGTGAGCCCTCTGAGCTTCCCCAATAACCCAGTGTAGCTAATTGGAAAATTAGCACAATTAAAGCAAAATATTTTTATCTTAAAGAAGAAATACCCTAGGAATCCCTTTAAAGCATGGCATTGCAAGTGCAGAGCCTGGCTGATACCAATATAGATGGGCTGTGATTCCACAAAATAACAAAAATTATTTAATATGCATTTGGCATTTGAGAGTGTGTGACTCCATGGATCAGTAAGTCTTATGAAACTATAAGAGATAACAAGGTGTAGAGCTGGATGAACACAGCAGGCCAAGCAGCATC